TTTCACTGAGGAACTAAAAAAATTAATTCTGAAAGTTAAGCTTCAAGGGGAATGAATTTAAATGAAATTCGTGTATTTTGATGAAGTTATAAAAATAAATACCACGACGGATGTTTGATTATGTAGTCTCCAATAGTCTGAATAACATTTAATTCTAGCAGAAATTTTCAAGAATATTTCTCTGGCAGTCAACGTGTTAAGCTTTCGATTGATATATTCCATTTCGCTAGTTTCATCCAATATTAACATTTAAAAAAAGTTGTATCGTACAAGCTTGAAGTTACCAGTTACCATCTGCATGGTTCGGAACATCAAATGAAATAGGTCAAAAAAATAAAAATTTTGTTGGCGTATCGTCCAGGTAATGCTCGCGACCTCGTTAGCAAGGCTGCCCCAGCAAACCTTGTCTTAGACGCAGTGTCCTTAATATAAAGTGCTCGTACGGAGATTACGTGTACACATCCTTAATTTTGATTAATGATTGAACTATCAGAAATCTATACATCATATTAGTATGACAATGTTACACTTGCGATGCTGTCTACGTTGTCTCCGATCGCGTGCGCTTCAAAGGAAAGTAAACGTTTCGAGTTGATATTCCAGGAAGTCGTTTAATAGATACGAGATGACTGTGCAGATAAGTGCAATCTTTCTGCGCGTCGAAAAGGGTAAACGGAGAGCGAATTAACACCTTTTCACTTCGTTCCAATGGTCGCCGAGCAATAAGTTGGTTTTTCTTTCAAGTATAATACGTAAGCGATTAATCGTCGCCATGAAAACTACTTTGGAATGACGTGATGCAAATGCAAATTTGAAGCTAATCTTATGGCTATCGAGAAACTTCTCGCTTACGCATCACGGCACGTGAACGTCTCGGTTATTCTTTACATTTTATAGTCCTATGCAATTTTTCACCTCGTCTCCTTCGTATGTCTATTTACCACGGATTCAAGTATGTGCATATTTTTCACGAGCATCCTAATTTTCTACACATGGCTAGTGTAAACTCAAACTTGACACTGTTTCAGACAACCCTGAACGTCAAACATTCCTGAAGTCATCTTAGAGTAAAAACATTGTATTAATGAACGCATAAAAATTGCTGTAGGCTGGTTATATTCGTTAACAACATCGTCTCTTTAAAGGCAAAACGATTCTCAAGGATCCCGTGACCGTGCAAACCAGACAGAGAATCACTTTCGCCATTCGTCGGGACGGAGGTACTTGTGACTTGCATAACCTCCAGCAAGGCTGTTACACGGAATTACACTTTCTGTTCGTTTCCTTGGCGGTAGAAATTACTCTCATTCTGGTCCACTCCTCTGCTTTTTCCTGCCACGATCAGACGATGCAAAACCATGCAAAGCGATGCGCAACCTTGATGGATCTAGTTCAAAAGCTCCCAGTGATTATGTTTTCTTAGGATACTTAAAAATGCAGCCCCGGATTCTAATTTGAATACTAAGGAACGAATGGACAGAGGTTCCTTGATACTTTGTCCGTTGGTTAATATTTGCAATGCTCGTGTATGCCGATACAATTTTCTACACAGGTAGACGAGCATTAAATTTAGGGGATAGGCTACTTTACGTTTTTATAAATAGCTTTAAAGCTTATTTGAGTTCTGTTTTCTTTTTGTAACTGCTTCATCCGACGTCCCTCTCGTTTTTCCTGAACGTGTAATTCTTGGCGAAATACGAGGAGCCATAACTATCTTCGATACAAGCGACGCGTATCTTCATCCGTGAGTTCTACGATAGATCGAGGTCGCTGGTAAAACGTATTAGGTGATTTTTAACGAGCAAGCAATTGGTTCGTTCCTTCGTTAAATTTATTCTTCGGAAGGGGACACCTGGTGTAAAATTGTCGGTGAGAAACGAGGTAATTCGAGCCGGCCATGGAACTTCGTAAACCGCGGCCGAAGTCTTCAATTCAGCAACGAGCACGGAGGAAGAAAATGTGTGCACCACGGCGATGCCGACGAGAAACGTGGTAAATCATGCGGAAAGATAACAAGACATCAAACCCGCGGTGGGTTGGTAACTCGAGGAAAACGATGATGCGAATTACTTTACATCGTGTTCATCTATGTACACGACGCGTAGAAAAAGATGGCCGCGATTTCCGTGCAGCTCGGGCGGGAAGATTCTATAAATACAAGCCACGAAATGAAATTCATAAATACAAACTCGATTAGATAAAATTCTTGAATAAAACGATGTCAGCGCAAGGCTGGATCTGCTACAATAGACTTTCTAAAGAATCTACTAGCAGATACGGCGTGACGTTCCATCTTCTTGTAGTCAAATGATTGTATACATCGAAGGACTAACGATTCACGATCCTCTGCTATTTATATTATGAATAGAGCAAGTAACAAACTATCGGTATTCAATTTTAAACCGTTTAATATAATTCCCTGAACGCACAGTGATTCATTTCAACCTTTCTTATGCGACGATGAAGAAACACGATTGTTAGGGATGCACAGAGGAACTTTAATCGGTTAACGTTCAAAGAGAGAGTGATGTAACGTTTTACAATGAAGGGCTACCGCCATTTTCGATGGGCTTAAAGTAGGTTAATCTGCACAAATATGGCTTGCGACCGACAATTGGCCACTTTCCCGGCCTTGCGATTGAGTACTTCAATATCGAAGGACTGGCTGATTGTAATGCGATGCAATAAATATTGATCTGATCAGAGTGCCTTAGCGATAGCGTACAATATATCTAATTACCCGATGAAACAATCGAGCGTACAATGTTCGTGAATATTTCCATGGCCATTATTCGATTACCGATTACAACTGAGGCCTCTCGGTTGGGTCGCTTACCTTTTAGAAGCCCCCGCATCCGTTTAGAGGCTTCAGTTTCTTAAAAAGACTAGTAACATCTTTCATGCGTGGAGCATTATTAGCGAGTTTCATCTCGAATCCGCTAATTCGACGTGTATACAGGGTGTCCTAAAACTCGGGGAGGAGCCGGAAATGGGGAGTAGCTGAGACGATTCTGAACAACAATTTCCTTTGCAAAAATGTCGGATGGGGCTTCGTTAAGGAGATATTAAGCGAAAACCCCGACCAATCAGAGCGCGCGTAGACCGTTGGAGCGGCCGCGGTAGCGAAGGCTACGCGCTAGGTCGATGCTTCGATGCACGTCGAGTCACTTGTTCGCGTGCAAGCGCGGCCGCCAGCGCGTAGCCTACGCTACCGCGGCCGCTCCAACGGTCTACGCGCGCTCTGATTGATCGGGGTTTTCGCTTAATATCTCCTTAACGAAGCCCCATCCGACATTTTTGCAAAGGAAATTGTTGTTCAGAATCGTCTCAGCTACCCCCCATTTCCGGCTCCTCCCCGAGTTTTGGGACACCCTGTATAAGTCTAACAAGTCTTGCTTGATAATTTATTAGATGCGACTAGATCCATAGACAAAGTTTGCGAGGAATAGACAATTTTTGCTTCACAGATTAACATCGAACAACGCAATTATATTACGTGTCCACGTTAATTTGCAACTGCCGCCTAATCCTCTCTCGGGAACAAGAAGAAGTCGTTACGAAACTTAAGTCGCAGCAGCTTGTCATTATTTTCTTGCGTTGGTGGAAAGGATGAGAGTTTGTAAACACACGAGGGGAATACATACATCGTTGATGCAAGCGTCGAAATAAAGAATTAAGACGCAAAAAAATAGACCGACAAATGAGTAAATGTAATCGTTACATGCGCTTGAATTTAATTCCTCTTTTTATTTCGTAGATTTCAACTCAACGCCGCCTCTAAGCGAGATTTGCGACAATGGTAATCGTTCTGCTGTGCAATTAAATTTATACCCCTCTCTACTTCCCTTGAGATTCGTAAATAATCTTACGATTTGTATAATTTTTCAGTATACAGTTTGAAATTAGACTGAAGCGCATCTACGTCAATCTTATGACGCAAATTCTTGAATTAGAATTAGCTTATGGTGTAAACATTGTTCTTTGCCGATGCTTTTCGCTCTGTACGCCATGATCTAACATGTCAAAACACGAAAATCAGATGTAAATGTATTCGCGATAATGACAGCGGATCCATTTGTGAATAACATGTTTTTCATTCGTTTTGAAATTTCTGAAAACATAAATTTAGACGCATCATGATTTTCAATGAACTATCCAAACCGTCATTTTAATATTGTTTGCGACACACGCAAAGCAGTTTGTATTTACGTCCGAGAATTCAAATAAGAGTCTTTGGAATCGACACGAAAAAAGACATTAATTTCAATCTTGACGTTTCAGTTAAAAAAAAAAAAAAAAAAAAAATGATTTTTCGACATGCTTGCATAATTGAGCGTACTTTCTGTAATTATAATTCTTTAATGAGATTTCGTAAGAACGTTTGCCGGATAATGAAGGATAAACTCAATTTCGAATGAGTGAACGATCATTTCGCAGAAATGCAGAGTTAAATAAAGATCGGATTTTAATACTGGCGGGCTAAATCAGTCGCTTTAATATTTGTGAGTAATTTTGCATTTTAAGTTTACTTAATTATTGATTCCGTAAATAATCCATTATTTGAGATGGATCCTTATTTGCGTTGCTAAAATATAGTGTTATTAGACTTATTATTTAATACAAAAAGTGACAGTCTATTTCAAGTAATTAATTATTCCATGCGTTATCCATCGTTTGTTAATTAAACAAAAAGCGCGCAATTCTGGTATAAGATAACTGTAGCACAGGAATAGATAGAGTATCTATAATACCTTTTCTTTTTTTCTATATTAGAATGCGATGTTATCTGTAATAACTATGACGGTAAACTATAATATCTTTACAAGGAAAACAGACGGGGACTTCTCGCAGATAAACGTCACAGTGAAAACAAGCGATTACGGTATCCGCTGTTTGAGAACCATTCGAAAACGTTTACTGTAATGTCCGCGAGATGGCAAGTTGGCGGCAGTCGTTTTCGTCGTCGGCACGGCGGCCCTCAGTTCCCATCGTCTTTGACGCGTCGTCTTCGTCTTAGTCGCGGATCCTTCGTTTCGTTCCCTTTCGAAAAAAAAAGACTTCGTTTACCAGTTTGATAGCGCGGCGTGCCCTCTCCGGTGAGAGAAGAGCAATCAAAACCGCGACGAAGGTCTGACACGAGCGAAGTGGGAGATCCGTATGCGAGCACGTAGAAGCGTGGACAGGTTACGAACGTGTATTCGTCGTCGAAAGTGGGAGACAGAAAACAGGAGGAAGAGAAAAGAAAAAGGGGACGGAAGGAAGGAAAAAAGGAGGGAGTGAGAGGCAGTAGGCGGTAGAATGAAGCATCGTGGACACGAGGAGTAGGGCGACGGGCGAGCAGCAGCGAGGTAGACGGGCGGTCAGGTAGCGTTAACGTTAAAACGGCCACACGTTACGGGCGTAACGAAAAGAAACAGTCAGTCGAGTGCGACCGCGTGCACAGGAAGCTGTCGGAGATTCGTAGACGTTTGGATACTCGTACTCCTTCCTTTTTTCCTTCGGCACCTTTATCATTTCTCCTTTTGTCTGTTCCTCGTTGTTTCGCCCCTTTTTTCCTTCGCCTCTCCCATCCGTGCGATACTACGGGCTCGTGACGACGGAGAGGAGGAAGAAGACGCGTGTCGCCGATGAAGGAAACTGGCGACGAACAGTCATCATTCTTATTCGCGTTCGCACGCTTTTAACAGCGGCGAGTCTGTCCGCGATACGGCAATCGAACGAGGCACGGCCGATCACCGTCGCCGGGAAGATACACGGAAACTCCACGAGGATATAGGACGGACGTCGCTCGATTCGCACCGATCTCTTACACGAGCAACGTGTTTTCCCTCGTATGGTCTGTCGGACAGGTGACAAGAAGAAAAACTGGGATCGTGCAACGGGGAACGAGAGATTTGTTCGAGCGTTGCTGAAGCCGGTATAACCTCAGCGTCACAAGACGCTGCCAAGACGAAGAGAGGAAAATAGCCGGAAAAGGGGAACCGGAACAAGAGACAGACACATTAAACGCAGGTGGGTGTTGTCCTTTGACGTACTGCGCTCTGTTCCCAAATAAGTGTGTGTGGTACCGTTGCTCGGACGAGGCGTGCCGCCGGTGTGCCTTTTGAGGTTAGGACGGACCGTGATCGATTCCGAGCTTCGTAAAAACGAAACCAGACGCGCTGACCGACCGCGACGTGATTCCCCGTGAATAATCCCTTTCTAGACCTTTTTTTTTTTATTTTCGACCCGGTGTCGCGATTATTGATCGAACCGAAGAGAAACCATTGTGCATCCCGTCGATCGTAACTCGATCTTACAATTGTCAAGAGTTTTCCCGGGTGAACGCTCGACGTGAAGCCTTCGAGCCTCGCGACGAGGTGCACCTAACCTTAAACCGAGTGTTCTCTAAGTGTCGTCACGGATTAGGAACGTTTCTTGTAAAAAGATCAAGTCGATAGGTTTCGCGGATAAAATGTTAACTATCGAGTCGAAAGTCGTCGCTGATAGGTCGGTTTGCGCGTTGATTTTTATCATTCATTTATATATTTTTCGAGTACGAATCGGAAAAAATCGATTCCGAATCGAACATCCCTGTCACAAGTACCGCGGTGTTTAATTTCATAGCACATCTATGTCCTTTTTCCCAGGTTCAGTTCCACTGCTCTGTTTGGAAGAATGCTTTGGAGTAACGATAGCTGTTACAATGAGATAACGGAATAATAATCAGTTACCTGATAAAATTCTACGTATTATACGACGATACTGTTCTAAAATTACAGTTCAGTGTATTCGGAAGTTCACGTGACTCCCGCCCTTACGAAACTGTACCGAGATCCTTCTTATTGCGGATACATATTCCCAATATCGTCGAAAGCTTTAGATTGGCAACAAGTAATTGTAATCTGATACGTTCGAACACGTCATATCGATATCGAACGAAATCCCGTCGATCTAGGAACCTAATCTTTGGCACGTGTTTACCTCGAACACGTAACAATAAATCTTCCTTTTTTATTTTTATTTAGCAAAGATAAAATATTTCTTTGCATTGATCAAAGAAACGTAGTGCTTTCTGCATGCATGTCGTCTCGAATTCCATTTAAAAACGTAAAATTCGTGTGTAGAATATTTCTTCGAAAGAAATTACCTTCTCTCAGAATATATCACGTATTTTAGGACACCCTGTATGTCGCAAACGGTACGATATCGTCTAAACCGTTGTTGACATTTCGTATTGTGATGTGTATGACCGTTGTTGGTGGTCTTTTAAATTACAAACTCTTAGTGCTAGTAGAATTGAGAGTGCAAGAGCTGATAGGTACCAATTTAAACAATAAATCTTAGTTGTTTCGTACTGCAAATATTGCAATTACGTTACGTACTAGATTACGAGCCATCAGGAACGAGAATGAGTCCGGGAATTGCGTTGAATCTGATTCACGTGCTGTGTTTATATTGCGCGGGATATCTGTATTGACGGTAGAGACGGTCGAATTTTTCAACGAAATAGCAAATTTCACGTAACGATAATCACTTTTACGGGCAAACGCCATTTGATTCGTTATTTCTTCGATCAAAATTGCAGCCTTATTATTTTTCAAAGGTACTCTAAATAAAGAGGTGTAAATTTATATCTCCTATAGAGCGCTATGGTTAATATTTCGTGCGACCATCAGTCAGAAAATTTCGAATTTAAACGTAATATTTCGGTTCCTGCCTCGCAATGCAATGGCAGACTCGATTTTTGGGGCCAACAACGTTCGTCCTTTCGCTTCTGATCCCCCCAGGCTGAAGAATCGAGCGTAACCGTGTTACAAAACACTTTCGTAAATGTTATTCAATCCGTGGTCCGTTCCATCCAGATGAGAAGTCGTGCGTCCACTTTGAAAAATGTATCACATTGCCCGGTTTCAATGATGACAAATAGAATAGATCACTATCTGAAAATAGTATCGCAGAGATTATTAAAATTGTTTACTAACTTACTTAGGTTTGAAAATGTATACAATGCTAGCGGTGCTCGACCTTCTCCAATAGAATCCAAAGTACAGAGCGAAATGTCTCGCAACGAACGAATAAAAACATTACTCTTCTCTTTAAGAGTCGTTGTACGTTAGTTTCGTCTCTTGATTTTGATAATCGTTCGACTGTACACTTTACCCAGCTCTGTTCGCCGTTTAGATGCCGTTACATCCGGTCCGCGCGTACGCTTATGATAAATTAATACACAATTCCTTCGCACGCGGACGTGAAACGTGTCAGGTTCGAAAATGATAATACGGAGACATTATGTTCGTTTTCGGTACAATTGGTTCTCATTAATGGGGGTCAGAGTGCGTTCGTAGCTTTCCGATGCCATAATCTACCGAATGGGCAATAATGCACTCCTTTTCAGGCCTACGAGCCAAGGTGAAAAGAAACCGAGGATAATGAAAATTGGATAAACACGCTGCATAAATAAACCGAAGTTATATCAGAATTTGTCGAGGCAATCAAAGGCTAAATAAAACCACGTTGATCCCTTCCAATTCCGTTCCACGATTGACGGCTGTCGTATCGGCACGGATGCATTCGCGTTATTTACAAATGCAAATCTGAACGCGGTGAACGCCTCGTCGACCGCGATCGACGAAACCGAATCGAGAAGGTACGCGTAGGAAATTTCTTCCTGACGAAATGGAATCTCAAATCGTCCACGACCGTTCTCCGAGTTTATATTAGCAATGGACCTTCGGGTGACTGGGTAGATTTGTAAAGGGTAGGAGTAACAGACCTGACGTAGCACTATAACGAAATTTAAGTTGAAAAAGTAGAAATTTCGTCGAACAAAATTTAAAAAGAATTTAATGAATACACTCAGTGGCTGGTGATTGCCAGTTACAGTTCCGACGAGTATCGATGAAAGATCAGCGAAGCGGATCCCGTTTAAACGAGCGATCGGTATCGACAAGAGCGGACAGAAGCATTTCAAAACGCGTTCCGCGGAATATGGTCGAAAAGTCTCGGTAATTAACTTCCTTTCTTGCCGCTTCGTTCGACTTCCGTCGCGAGAGGCAAAAAAAAAAAGAAGGGTATTGCTGGTGGTCGACGGTAGAAGCACTTGTTTGGTATATTCGACGATAACAACGGATTCGAAGGAATCGATAGGAGACGAATGCCAAATGGCATTCACGGTTCGTCTGAACGAAGCCGTAAGTCGACCGATGTGTACCGTCCATCGATTGTGGCTTTAATCGCGTTTGATAAAAAATATTCTAGTTTCCGCGTATCGTTTACCGATGTGAAACGCCTCGTCAGTGACAAACGCTAGTTTAATCTCAAACAACCGATTCGTATAAGTGTTTCGCTAATAAAAAGCAATAACTATCAGCAAAGTACGTAATCAAGACGTCAACTCAGTCGGGAGATACTTATCTCTAACGATTCGGAATCTGATTAACGCGAGGTTCCGGTCGATGTAATATATTCGTTAGTTTTGGAGCGCGATCAGGAACATAAACCGTTTCTCAAGACGAAAAAAAAAGATTACTTAGAATTTGTTGAAGTCGTGTAATTGCACCAGTTTTTGCATCTTTAATCCGAGGAGGTTCCAGTTGATCCGATTTATCCATCTTTGGAGTCCATCGCTTGTTGTCCATATGATAGCTCGTGTGATGTAATTTTTAAAGAATTCTGCATACTTGCGGTGACAAGCTCTCCTCATTACCGAGAGAAGCGAATTCTGAAGTTGCATAAACAGACGATATCATTATTTATGCAGAAATTATGACTTTTTGAATAAAACAAAATGAAAAATGTAAGAGGGAAAGAATCGAAGTATCTTCTACGATTCTGGAGATAAAAAATTCATTTTGGAGATAGCTTTCTTAAAAGTCAGCGACGACTGTTAACTCTGATGGCCTGTCGTTTGTAAACAATTTTCAAAGTAACAAAATGACGATATAATCACCTTTGTATCTTATCGTTTGAAATGCAACATGCTTTAATTTGACCTCTTGCCAATCTAAAGCTGACCTCGCGCGGAAGTGATCGATTTCGCGTGGAATGGACCGTCTCCGAGTAATAGGCGTTTTCGTATTTCGCTTTCGGAGGAATTCATTCCCAGTAGAATTGCTCGAATTGACCTCCTCGAGCTTTCACTCAACATTATTAATGATATATTATATGGATTGGTTAGCAAGGTCACGTGTGATATACGAAGCGTTGATTGTAAATAAGTTTACGGTGTTTACGACCGCGATTCGTATTAATAATTACACAAGCATGACTCGTACTTATATGATTATTTTTTTCTGGATTAAAAAGAGGAGAAGTATCGTGGAAGATTTTGAAAATTTTATTGCAACAGTATTTATATTTATGAAAATATTACTCCGTTGGAATATTTTGTTTCATTCAAGTATTCATCTATGATAATCGCTTGCTAGTTCCGTTGAATCCCAACCTTGAAGCTATGCTTGCTAATAACGCGCAGAAATGTCTCATTCGAAGGTAAATGTCCTTCCAGTAACGCGATAGACAGCATTACTTTCTCCGTGGTCGGCAGATATTACGTAAGACTTATGCGTCATGGTCGAGTTGAATAACTCCGTATTATCAGTCTCATTCTTTGAGATTTCGGGTGGATAACAACCATCTTACGTATACGAAGAGAGACTGTGACAGGAATTGAATTTGCGAAAACAGATTGTTCGTTGTACTCCGAATGAAACACGACCATTAAGGGGGCAGGGTCGAGTAAAAAACCGCTTTTTCGCGAATTATTTTTGAAGTGTGCGTAATATATATTTATTTACAACTAATTACTTGTTACTTTGTAGCATATAGATAATCTATATAATTTGTTTTTATGTAAAAATATTCATAAATGAATGAACAGCAGCTGTTTGAAGTTGGCTTGTCGAAAATGCGCCGTGCAACGCACAGATTACTCTAATTATTTGAAATAAAAAAATCCACCAATTTTTCGTTAAAATATAATAACACGCTTTGCATCAACCTAGATTTAAAAAAAAAAAAAACATTTTAAA